TGACTAGATACAGAAAAAGTAAAGAATTTGAAAGCGTAATAGCTAATAGGCTATGGAGGAAAATATTTTAGGGAACTAACCCTATCATAATATCGAATGCTCGAAATCAAAAGTGCACAGAAGGGTAAGATAATTATAATCAGAGCCTACATTGTTTCGTCTTTTTGAGATACCGTTAACCGTTTACTTCAGTTCAGCGGTGCAGGGTTTGTTCAATAAATTTCTTCAACCTGAATGACCTATTGGTGTTATTATTTATAAATCTTCCGACTACCGGTAGTTGAATTATCTAAATCTGTACTATAGCTACAGATGATTTCTTCGATAGTACTTGTTTTGATTGAGCCGTTATTGATGGTTCATAAATCTCAAGTTGCGTTCCTATACAATTCTACGAGAAACTATTCGCCGCCCGGACATAGCACTCAGCTACCGGACGCTGCAGTAGCCGCGCTGCACGCGACGTATCAAAATTGCGTCTTATCGCGACGATCCAAGTTCTGCTCGAGGTCCCGCCCCCTGCAAAATTGCGAAGCACCGGAACTGTCAACGAAAGTGACGCGAATATCAGGCGCCTCCGCTGCGCGAGTTTGTTCCGACTCTGAGGGCGCTTAAGTGTATCAGACACTTTCACCGACAACGTTAATTCAGTAAAGGCTATCGAAAACAATGCTTATCTCATTGAGACCATATTTTTTACCTCAATATTAATAAGCAACAGAAATGCGAATTGCAAAAATTTATCATTAGCCTTCAACTTTTCACCCTACTTGAAAGAATACAAAAAAGGACCATCTCTTTATCATGAGATACGTTAAACAATCTCATCCCACGGATATTTGTAGCCGATCATAAACTACACGACATGACAAATTGTAACTGATGACATCACACTGACTGACACCGTTGAAACATTCTGTATTATATCTATGCAAGTTTTTATTTGTGTTAAATTTACAGCCGTCGGGAAAAAGAGAGATAATTTTGTCACTAGGCAGTAGGCACTAGTAGGCAGTCCAGAGAAACCCGACAGCTCCAAGATATTATACTTTCAAATGATTATCGAAGCCTCATACTTACGAGTAATAAACCAATAGCTTAATGCCGACGAATAAGTGCCACGCCACGTATTGACATGCGATTTTTGTTAATTTTCACTAGATCAAATTTTAGCACCTAGATCATAATAAACATTCCAAAAATTGCAAGTAGTAGAATTTAAGGACGAGACATGGGATTTTTATTTTGAGACCACCAACCATCCAGAGGGATAATAATTCTAAATGATAGAAAGGCACCATTCACTACGACAAAGTCGTAGCATGATCATTTTCAAAATGAAGCATCCTATAAGAAACTGCCGAGCTCATCTCGAATTCGAGTAACAAATCCGAGAAAGCAGCAAAGTAAATGTCGTTGCAGTTTTCCCTTCTTCCAAAGGTAAATAACTGTGATAATAGTTCAGAAACAGTTTCAGGAAATGACACTTGACACTTCAGAATTACGAGCATCTGCTTTCATTGCATTGAGTGTAGCAGGATGAAAATGTGTACCTACTTACGGAAGACGCATTTGGATGGCAGCCAATGTGATGGTAGGTGGTAAACTATATTGAACCATTTTAATATACCTGCTATTCCTCATCCAATCTAATTGTGAAGCTGAACGAGAGAGCGATGCTCGAAAGGTTATAAGAAATCAGAAAACAATGAACAATGCAGAGTAAACCAACGCATTATTTCGTCCTGCGGCAGCAAAAAACGACAGTAATATACATAAAAGATGCAGGCAAAAAAGTCTTAATAATTCGTGCATTTTGGACAAGACACATGCAGACATGCAGAATAAATGGTAGCTTTATTCTGTATTAAAAAAAAGCATCCGGAGAAGATGGGTCCGCATCCTTCCGCAAGCAAGCCCATCCCCAGCTACTAGACCGGCAGACGTCATGCCAGCTCTCACTTTTAGCAACAACGACGTGTGATGTTCACTGATAATTGGCAATTAAATCAGAGAAATTCGTTGTTGTGACGCTTTTCGTGTAAAACCGTCAGGTACCTTCTACACCCCAGATTACGAATATCTGATAAATCCATGCATATTCAAACGATTATATTTTGAATAATGCACGACGTTAACTAATGATCTTAAATGGAAATGCTTACAGAAATGCTCTCCAGCATATTAACTCCTCATCAAAGTTACCAAGAAAAAAGACTGAACTTGAGACAAAACGAAGTTTACCTTCAATTTTAAAGGCATTAAGCAACCATTCTCTACGTCAACAATATTGCACCATGGATGAAATTAAATACCAAACTCAAGTTCCAGATTAATTGATCTCGACACATTCATAATGGTCAACATAATATTAAGTGTGCATAGTCAAAGTTGCGAACTTGTTACCAACGTTATATATTGATAGCCAAATGTTAGTTAACAACGTTATATATTGATAGCCAAATGTTAGTTAACAACGTTATATATTGATAGCCAAATGTTAGTTAACAACGTTAAATATTGATAATCAAATGTTAACAAAAGGTGTGCAGGTCCAAAATGATGACGATCATACAGACATCACCGGAAGCCCAAATGGATGCGAGCCTCCCAAGCTTCTTCCTCCCAACAGGCAGAGAAAGTCATGAGAAAAGAGGTGGTGCGGTTCCAAGCGGCGTGTTGAATTCAGCAGCTAACGCATCTTGCTTCCTAACATGAATGAAATTACTGAATAGAATCACGTTCTATTGAACTAGAGCGACTACATTCAGAAGTCAATTAGATGTGTCAGAGCACACACTGTTTTTCAGGGAACAAAGGTATGAGAACGACTGCGTTTACCTCATTTTTTAGCACACGATGAATATCTAGGAAAAAAATATAACTCATGCAGTACTCACTGCAGTGAGTGACAGAGAGCGCATTTTCTCGTCGACGAAAACGTGGTCACGGACGGACGGACAGACAGACGGACACACAGATGGACGGACATGACGAGCACAATAGCGCCTTTTTTCCATAAATGAGAAAATACGCTAAAAAGGTATAACTTAAACAAAGTCTAGTGAGGATAACCAAATCTCATTGTGGATTTGGACCAATCTCTGTGAGTACGAACATACTTGTTTGCCTTTCATGATTATTGCGTTAGATGGCTGCATTAAAGTTTACAAGGTAAGCAGCACGCGTCTATATACTGCGGTCTCATGGCCACAAATCTCGTCCTTGTTCGCCTGAAACAAACAGGCGACATTGAACTCGGTAACAACACTAACGGTAAGCCGCCATTGTAACAATCTTCATTTTACAACTAACTCAGTGAATGGGGCCAATTAATTGAGCGTATGCGGCTACGCGATGAGAAGCAATTAATGTTAAGCTATATAAAGCAATGCTCGACGCCTTGAACATATAAGTTCCTGCCACCAAGTCCTGCTGTCACGATAATGTGATGGGATGAGGGTGTCGTGCGCTCCCTAGTGGGCTCCTGCATCGTCAGAAGTTGCATCTCAGATTTAACACAAATTCAAAGAACAGACACGACAGTTTTACGCTGCGCTAAATATAGGTAGACTATGATGAAAGTGAAATTAGTGACATCTGCTTCCTTCAATATAAGCCCAATCTTTCCTTCCTTGAAGTAAATAACTGCCACACATGGCTCAGCATTATATTTCAAAGTACTTGAAATACTTAGGGCAAGTTTTTAAGTGCCCAAATAACACAAATTCGAATTTCTAAGCACTCATTTAGATTTTACAATCAATTCTACAGCTTATAAATCACGCAGATTATCCGTCATCTTTCTTGAGCAAATTAGGGTACGTATTCTGAAGACTGCTTCGAGACAGCGTTCTGCCTACTCAACAGTAAGCATGCTCGAGTTGTGTGTTATTGAGATAAAAAAACGCCCGAAGCAAAAAAAAAACACGTATCAAACATTAAAAATGGTTCTGTCGGGCGCCTTAGGATCAGCTTACGAAAAATGTATTTAACGGTATTTTTAAGGAGCAAACAGATATGAACGAAAGCAGCCGAGTAAGACTGGGTTAGAAGTTTACCCATATCTTAGAATAGTTGTGAATAGTAAATTAGAATGGCCTGGGACTTTCAGAATGAAGGTTGTTGTTTGGACTGTGACCACGTTCGGAATTGAAGTGCAATTAGAAAATGTGGAAGCCACGAGTTTAAAACGTACAAAACAAATAGCAAAATTTTATTATCGTATACAAAGTATCGATTTCTGCTGGTGGCTGAGGTTGGGCTCTCTATCACAAAATTTAATTAAGGAAATTCCAATAATTATTTGGGAGCAAAAAGCTGCAAAATGCTTCAAGCATAAAAAATTACATTGTTCACGACATTAGAGAAGCCGAAATTTTTCCGCGGAATGTTGACAGGTCATCAAAATATTTTTTATAAAATTAATTTCATTACGGCACCTCATGCAGAGTCAGTAAAATTAAAACAGAGTTAAATACGCCGCAAAAATAATAAAGTAACTTCTGCGACTTTAAAGGCGAATCATAAACTTCAAGGATGTCATAACCACACAGCGAAAAAATAATTTGTTATGAATATTAGGTTTTATAAAGCTTAATGACTTCATTTCAGGTTGAGAATTAGATCATCTCGCACCTAAACTTGGAACATACGCTTGTGAACGTGAAGATAAACTCCGAAATTCTTACCATCATTCGAAATTTTCTAGAAACAAGCAAATATAATATTGATATAGCAAATATAAATAAATTTCAAGACAACCAGGAAATAATCATCTGCCAATACTCCTGTCATCTATTGCAGGTCACCGAATAAAAATTGTATCACTGATAATATCATTAAAATAGTTCCTACTTCAACAAATGTCATGCAACTGCCCAAGCTTCTACTTACTACCGATGATGAAGTCAAAATTGTATCACTGATAATGTCGTTGAAATAGTTCCTACTTAACAAATGTCGTGCAACTGCCCCCAAGCTTCTGCAGTTCTACTTACCGACGATGAAGTCGTATTCCTTCCAGAGATTTTCTCTGACGGAGGGCCGCCCCTCAGGATCCGAGGACTCGTATCTGTTGTAGGCGAGCGCGACGAGCAGCGAGGGCACGAGCCAGAAGGCAGCGGTGCCCATGCTGGCCGCCAAGGGCAGGGCGCCCGCCAACGAGAAGGACATGATTCAATTCTTCCCTTAATTCTAAACGAAACTTCGATCAAGTTCACTTCGTTCGAAAACGTTCCACTCACGTCCAGTGTGTTCACTCACTCAGGTTTAAAACTCAATTTTATTCAATTCGTTTTTTCCAATTCAGTGACATAAGCCGAATTCAATTGTTAGCATGATCATTCAATTGCGGCTAAGATATTAACATATGAAGGCAATTTCTTTTGCGACACGATTTAAAAACTAACTTATTTCAACAGTAAATCATCGCTGAAATATGGCGTGATGATAAAAATTTCTGCTCAATAAATAATAAATAGTGTTAGAGAGAATTGTTTTAAAATTAATTTTTAACTGAATTATTCTGTAATGCGCTTAAGACAAGAAACTGTCGTTGTACAATCGCCGTATCTGATTTAAGATTAGGTCAACAACTCTATTTATGTTCCATTGACAATTTTTAATTTGATAATAAGCGTAAAAAAAACGCTTATCATCCCTTCTTCATCGATATCACGGTAACTTAACTAGCCTCAAATAACCAAGCTTCAGGTGAATCCGCATCGAAATTAATAGGGAGAATCGCAGGTATTACGTCGACTGCCTCTTCAGAGAGTCATTTCTCATTGGCAGGAACTAACGAATCTCCGCGAATATATTTCCTAAAATTTTATCAAATTAACAAATATTCATCACCAAATGTGGAGGATGTAATTAAGTAGCAAGTACGCTGGAGCTGGCAAGAAAATTTGGTGCGACGAAGATTGGATGTGAACATTGAGCGGAATGAGCGGAATGAAGACGCTCGAGTGAGAGGCTACAATCTTCACGATACGTCGGTCGCTCGCACCAGAGACACAGACCTACATCTGAGACAGCACGAGCTCGGTAGCGCCAAATGCAGAACAATGACCCATGGGAACGTGAAATCCCATATGAGATTAAGAGCACGCATTAGTAGACGCTCTAGAGTTAAATCTGAAAATCATATATATTACACCGCTGAAGTGTTTTCTAGGTTGTTGCGACACCACAATAATACGGTGAGCAGTAATGTATACTTGAATTATCTTATCATGAATGCATGGGTTTGCATCCGAATTGTAATCAAACATACATATTGACCCAGCTAGTCGACATTGTGTTTCTCTGTGGGGACGGTTCGACTAATCTCATCTTGTGGTTCTGTTATTTTGATTGCGTAAAATGCCTAAACTAAAATTGATATTGCTTGCGGTTCCCGTCGATAATCGAAACAATTACATCATAAATGATAATGAAACCTTCTTGACACAAGAAGAATTGTTGAAAATTAATGCTAGGTCATAGAAATAGATTGTACTCAATAAACTTGCGGTAGTAATCGAATCGATACAAGAAAGATGACCACTTCTTGCCGCGAAATCAATGAAGATGTCGCTGGATGGATATAAGGTAGCAAGCATCAACCAAACAAAAACTAGTCTAGGCAACATATAGCAATGTAACACTCGATGATGCCTAAACTCGAAACACACCGCAGTTGTCATTTGGACAGCTGCAAAAAAATGTACAATTGCCTCTATTTGAATGGGTAACGGAAACTGTGTGAGGTGGGCTAATATTTCAGTTTAGTGAAGACAACAGCGAACGATCAATTTTGGGGGATGGCTTTTCACTCTTAAAATGTCGAATTATTTGGTCCATGCATATGCGTGTTAATTGAAACTGCCAACATATTCATGGATAACGTTCTCAGTCGTGGCACACACTAATTGTATCTCCTAACCAAAACAAATCACTTCGCTATTGTGCACTTATGCCGATTTTCAGTGATAACAACCCACTTGAGAATATTATAACGTAGCTCTAATACAGTAATACTGATAACAATAAATGAATCCAGCAGCACCGTGGATGAAACAAAGATGCATCAAGAACATCAAGAATAATATGTTACATAATCTGGAAACAGAGTTTGGACCAATATGTCTTTCATTAGGTTCAAAAAATAAAAATAGCAAATAATAGAGACCCTAACGTAGAAACACTCATTAAGAATCTGAAGCAAACTTACACTAACCAAATGAGGGAGTGAAGGGATCCCTCGGAACTCCCCTTCTATATAAAACATACAACATTCAAGGCAATACAATCGAGTTTGTAAACTAACCTTCACGAAGTGAGATAATATTAAACCGGACGTAACGATGTCTCAGTCAGAAATCAATGTATATACAGGTCATGTATGTCATTGCAAAACAGGCGAAATGATCTTTCGGTCAACTTTTAATTCTACAAAGACGAGGCCGTTCAAACAAAACTTCCCTTATATGTAAAGCTTGTCGTGGTTTGAAGGGCAACATTGAAGAGAAGGGGAAAAAGTCCCAAGTCAACACGTAGAGCATATTTGAATCACCGAGGCTGCGGCTGCAAGTGTTCATGATCAGCATTCCCTTGAAAAAAAATTCTGGTTGAGAACCCTGCATAAAAAATGCTCCCGGGACTACGTGTTGCGGCGATTGAACCCTGAAACTGAAAGTCTGATCAGAGGCACCGACTCACAAATTTCAACGCTCGTTCCTCAGAGCGCAAAGAAACCAGTGAACAGATTTGAAGCTTGATAATTCAATTTGTTCCATCACCGAATTCCCAAGCCCAACGGCAAGACAAGGCCATTTCTATATAACGCCGTCCTAACAAAATCCGGCACACATGTACGCCACAGCCTATAGAATTTAAAATTAAAGCCGAAACAAAACTCAAAGATGATCAAGTCAAAGAAACCCCAACAATCTAGAAAAGGCAAAAGCTTCCTCATGAGGAAGATATTCCCGAATCAAATTGAAGTTTAATGAAAATTTGAAACCGCACAACCGCATAGAATCATATATAAAATGACTGATATGAATCAGCTACATCAACCTAACCACCATCCTTCAACGCTGTATACATTTATGCAATACATTTTAGACATTTTTGTGCATTATTAATAGCGGAAGTACATTTAATCTTTTTACAATTACGTTCATTATATCAGGAAACAAAAGAATAGAATTCAATAAAAAAAGTGAAGATCAGCGAGATGGCAGGGTGTTTAAGAACAGCATGCAAATTTGGAACAGTAAGATACGCTTTCGAGACCCAATTAGCAGTGAAAATTCTGCCGAGTCTAGAATAGCCCAAACAAAGCTTACTCTCCAACGCTGACATCGCTCTATTACTGTATAATTAAGAACTTCAGTTCACAAGTGCCGTCAGAAATATGTAAAGAAGGGAACCTGGATACATGACGTTTCCAAATAAATTATGAGTATTTGGGAGCATATATCCAATGGAAACAAATTATTGTCGTGATGAATAAAGTGATATAATTCGTAATAGAATTGTAGCCGTCGCAACCAAGTGTTATAACAATTAGTGTAATAATGACCTTCACGCATTCTCGCGATATTTGCACGGGCCCAGCACTTCATAAATATTGCTTGGTGGACAAATAAGTTTGACTAATTTCAGCTCTGATCAAATAACTCGACAGAGCTGAAGGACAAGCGAGCTGCAACGCTGAGCTACGACCTCCTAGGCCAAGCTCTAATGCAGTGGTTCCCAAAGTGGGCGATATCGCCCCCTGGGGGCGGTGGAAAGATCTTTGGGGGCCTCTGGAAAGATCTGTGTTTAACTTTTCTCTTTCAAAATTGCAGCATACTAAATATCAAGAAAGAGGCGTTTGTTTTATATGTGTCTGTCAGCGGGGGGGGGGGGGCGCTAGAGATTCACTGGGGAGCCAAGGGGGGCGCCAGCCTGAAAAAGGTTGGACAACACTGCTCTAATGTTTGCACTCTGCATTCAAAAGCCCTGCATATTCAGGAAGGAAAATACTGATTTAAGAAGATACAGGGGATCATAATTCAGAACAGTCATTTAATAAACGTGAACAATATAACAGAATTTTACCACGGTGATCGTAGCTAAGGTGATGCAAGAGTAAACTCCGCGCACCGTATACACAAGGTAGCATCAGTAGTTGCCGGCACGACCGTCAACCTCGGCGAAAGTTCTACGAGAGAATGAGAATTGCTGCACAATTATTTCAAGATTTTTTACACAAGCCCACAATCGTTCATTATTTATTTAATAGGTCCGTGCACATGAATGTGAGAAAGAAGAGAAATGTATACACAATCTTATATATATTTGCGACAATTTTTGGATTTGTCCCCTCGCAGCAGATATATATAATTTTTTTCAGACGATGGATTTTAATCATAACTAATAATAATTAACCTTCTGAAAACAACGAGAATGACTTCGTGAACAACTCGAGGCTCAAAGTGATACAGAATCTCAACAAAACATCTTCTACATTTTATAACACTTCTTTACAACATTTCTCTTTAACTTCATTTCTTGTTGTTAGTTTATTTGTCCGCTACAAATCTCATAATCGATATTTAAAAAGCTTTTACCTCTCCAATCGATCTGAAGTTTTGCACGCTTACGTAAAGTCGGAGACAATGCATGAATCAATTGACAGAATAACAATTTTTAAAATTTAAAAATATTTTTAATATTAAAAACTAGAAAAAATAATTTTGTCTGCTACAAATCTTATAATCTATATTCAACACACTTCTACCTGTTTAATCGATCTGAAAATTTTCACACTTGCGTATCGGGAGACAATGCTTGAATCAATTGACAGAATAAATAATTTGAACAAAATTAATTTTTTATATATTAAAAAATTGTAAATTATTTTTTTTTATATATTTGAAATTAAAATTAGAAATTCGTAGTACATTTGTAACATCGGAGACGTGGATACTTTAGAAGTGTTGTCTTTAAACAGTAATTTTTAAACGCATATTATTATATCGGGAATTCGCTGTGAGCTCTACTCATTTACAATTATTTACAGGATCCACGATATTTAGTGATCTGGCATTCAACTTGTCATTTTAATTTTCAAAGACAAAATCCCGGAGGACATGAAAAATGAAAAGAAAAGTAAAATTTGAAATAAAAATGCGATTTTTACTCTAGTCTATTTTAAATTGCAGCAAGAAGTTAAAGTTTTCTTGAAACAAACAATTTAAACGGAATTTTCGAGTTAGATGCGAGTATGAACGATCTTTATTCAATTAAAGTGCTTTAGTTTCAGAAGTTGGTGATATGTAGTTCAGGATGACCAGATCAGGGGTTCTCAAAATGTGGAGATCGAGAATATCGCGAGAACTTACTAAGTAAGGGATTACTTACTAATCTACTTATATTACGCCGTGCTAGCCTGCTAGTAAGTTTACAGTTCATCAAA